ATGTATGAGTGAAGTTTAAACTTAATCGGTCCATGCATGTTCGAGATACAGGTGATCACGGACGCACGGACGGACGGACGCACACAGAGCAAAACACAAGTCCCCGTTTTCGGACTGCGTCCGAACGGGGACTAAAAATGACGTTCATAATTTCAATCAAAATCATTTTTAAGAATTTATGTTTTGAAATTGGATGCCTCAAACAATTGTTCAAGCCTTGTTTACTAATTCTCATATACTTTTCCATTCAAGGCAAAAATTATATTCACAATCCATTCATCCTAAAGAAATATCTCCAAAGCTATACATGAATTCAGGGCTTTGACAGCACCCTAAGACTACAAACTCCAAACAAAGCAGCCCAAACGCAATAATAGAAATTGGTGAAATAATAACACTATATTTTTACATTAAAATGAGTCAACTGATAGCCTTTATAGACAGTCAAAATGAATGGAAAAGAAACAGCGACAACAGGTGATATGCTAACCATTTTGTCCTTGATATCTTCAATGAATGTGCCATTTATTTCGCACACATTTTATTTGCATAGTTCTAATAGTCCACGTAATCTGGTGGATTAACTAAATAATTATCACGGGATGACCAGCTTTTCAAACTGGTAGCCTAGCAGAAGTTTGACTACTAAGTACCTGTATACAGGGTCTGTATTCATTTCACAGAACCACTTTTCAAGCAAAGAATCTGCATGTACTGTGTCTGGTAGCTTTCTCCACTTGAGACATCGATCACATTGCACCCACGATTGGTCAGGTCTATCCAATGGTATCTGGGCATTTGCCGGTGCAGATTGATAGGATCTAGTAGCACCCTGCTTCTTTTCATTCCAGTAGTCATTGAGTTTAGATCCAAGTGCTGATATGCAGGCCCTATAACAAACACATCAAGTACATCAAGGTTACATGTAATTACGATCAAATAGGTTTTATTTCACAATAGTAAAACTCGTTCTGGTTTACTTTTTTCTGGGATTCAGATATCAATGTTGATAATAGGAATAAATTATTACCAAAAACATAACAAACTTCTTTTTTCACATTGTTGTGTTTTAGCAATAATATATTTCCTATTGCATCACAAGATATTTTTCATTCACATTACTGTAAAATACTTTTATTAGTTCTTGATATGAGAAAACCGCTGCAAGAAGAACGGCATCGAAAGGGATAACTATTCCAGTTTCTTGCTCGTTTGAAAAGGCTTTTTACTACAGGCGATATGATTAAAACCCATGCACCTCTCGATAATAGGTTTCAGCGTTTTCTGATCACGAACATCAGTCTACTCAACCACCAAGCTAGTTATATTTATATCAAATTTCCACATGTAGCACCAAGTTTCAAGATCATAGCAGATACCGTTTAGAGTTGTATTTCATATGTGGAACAGACCTTACAGGAAAATGGCAGACAAGATCTTGTTAAGAACGATACCCAAAGAACTTGTTTCCACCCCTCAGTAGTGTTTAATACATTCTCTCCTGTTATTGTGTCCATGTTCCCCCGAGGTTTCTAACCATGGTATTTGCAACAGTTGACACCATGATGGAGGGTTTGGGAGGCATAACATGCATAACCTTTTCACCATCAGCCTGAATTTTTGGAAATAAACCCTAATTTTGGAGCCAACAGATAAAAGTTAAGCCAATTCCTAATTTTCGAGTTAGTTTTCTATGGAATTCCACTAGAGGGCGCGTCCAAAATACCCGGATGACGAGCCTGAGCGGGGTTGTTTTTATTGAAGTTCTGTATTCTTACATGCGTAAATCAATAGATTGGAAAAGCAAAAAAGTTCCAGAACTCCGCAAATTTCTTCAGGATCGTGGCATAACTTGCAGCAATGTTCGTAAAGCTAAACTTTTTGAACTTGTTGAGTTAGCAAACGAGATAAATGTTCGCCAAGAGTCAAACAATCGTCGTCGTACTGTAAAACACAGTGAGTCGACGATAACTCTGGTAGATCCATGTAACGTAAAAACTTGGCAAAAAAACTTTCATACTTTGCCTTTGTTTGAAATAGCTGATATGTTCGCATATTTTTTGCATTGAAGTGACTGGACAACAGCCAGACTGAAAGAATATCGACTTGATAATGGTTATTTACTTTCCGTAAAGCTTCATCATGTGCAGACAGAATTTATTTTCATTATGGCAGAGTGTATTCAGCAATGATCCATGAAGGAAAATCCTTAATTATTAAATCAAACTCTAAAATAGTTTCTGGTGTTTGTAACTGTGTAGTGTAAGTTTGATTTTATATGATTCACCAGGCGATCAGCAGATGCAGTTATCATAAATGGACACACGTTTTTTCCTTCCGTAGTTATTTTAACTTCAACATCGAAACAAATGCAATCATAAGGATTCTGAACAAGAAGGTCGATGTGGGAATCGGCAATGAGCGAATTTTCCATAAAATCCGGCTCAATGTTTTCGTTTGCGCTCGTCTCGGGAAGCTGACAGAGTCTTCGTTTTTCAATCGATGTATAACTGCAGTTGAAAGATGGCCGTCTCCAGTTATTGAACTAAAAAAATACTGGCGCAGGATGGAAAATGCCGTGAACAAACCCAGGAATATAGTTTGGCGTTCCCGACAACGCATTCGAATCCACTGGCGTTGAGTATATTGCTTACAGCAGACGCCGCTCAAATTTCAACCCCACCACGAACGTTGAACGGACTGTCATCAGGGTACTTTGAGAACGCCCTCTATCGAATTTCGTGCGAAAAATAGTAACTCAGAAATTAGGAATTTTCAGTTTTTACTGAAACATGGGTATTTTTGTTCCAATCTTATGAAGAAAAGTGCAAACTATAAATGGGAATATTATGTTATAAAAAAAGAGAACTGGTGAGGACTTTTAATGATAACACTTACCTATATTGTTTGGTGTAGTCAAAATCTTGCTTGTTGTGAGTTGGTTGTAACCAGTTACATTCTATAACACCAACCACTCCAACACCTAAATCATTGGGCTACAATAAAAATCAATGTTAGTTAGTCAGTTGTCAATTTACCAAAATGTACAACTAGAACCACTTTCATTAAAAAAAAATGACGTGCATCAAGGTCCCATAATGTCCAATGCATATGCCAAGTTTGAACAAAATCCATCTGTAAACAGCTGAGAAATGCTTGATTTTTATGATTTAAAAAATTGGCTGCCATTCAGATCAATCAGATGATGTATGATGTATGTGTGAAATTTGAATTTTATTGATCCAGGCATGACTAAGATGCAGGTCCAGATGGACATACACATGCATGGACTGACAGACACCCAGAGGTCAATCCTATAAGTCCCCGTTTTCGAACTGCGTCTGAACAGGAACTGATCCTGTCACCTAAAGAAAATTGCATGGTATGCACATATGAAAAGCATTCACCCCTCCCTGGTGAATATGACCCCCTTTATTTTAAAAATTCAGACATGACCTACCAATTCAATTCCCCCCAATAAACCATACATAAAAGGACAGACAGACATATGCTATTGCCAGAATAAGCCTATGTTGCATATTCAGTAGGCGTATATATTGTGCTGTTTCATGAACTTTTCTCACAGTGCCATCGTTTCAGAAAACTGTTGTTTCAAGGTAATAGCATAAAACTATGTAAACCCAGCATAACCTAAATATGGTGTTACAATATTATCTACAGTCCTTACCTTTGTCTGGTAGCCCACCCTTTCATAGGCCTTGATCAATCTATTACTATGATACATCATTATTCCATAATGGTGCTTGTATTTCTTTATGTTAAATCCAAATGTTATTTTCACTGGCTTCTGAAACTGTTTACCGGTTAAGAAAAGCAACTACACACCAAAGTTTGCCTGGTGATTTCCTTGGTTGCTATCCACACCAAAAG